GGACTATTTCTCCTTGAATATTACACCCAAAGAGCTAAAAATTTCACCATGTACTAAGGTTTTCTAGCTCTTTAGCTGCCTGAAGTCAATTTGTATCTAACATGCTTCCTTCTTAACACAAAGCCGTATGCAAATGAGCAAAAATGTAAACAATGACGTTAGCATGAATCCGCCTATAGTTTAAGGTTGCAATGCTTTAAATAACATTGAATTTTTTTTCTTTTGTGAAGGACATCTATGAAGGTCTACCCTGTACTTAACTAAGCTAAGAAAACAAATTTCACTTACTGTGTAAGACAGTTTGCATGTAATGTTGTCAAACTTGAAATGTTATCTTCAGCAAGTGCTGAATGGGTTCATGGGCCTTGGGAAAGATGCATGGAAGGAGACTAGGGACACATTACAACGTATTTTGTGCAGCAGTGAGGTAAGTACACCACTTAAAAATCTTAACAGAATTCTATTGTTCAAATTAATCCCCCTTTTGACTGGCAAGAATGAAAGATCAATTCATTGAAAATGTTAGAAGTGCTTGCTCATACTATCTGTTTTAAACTAATTGTAAATTGTTGGTTTTTAAATAAATATTTATTTGCTTTGAATTAGTTTATTATGGTGATGGATCATATATTAATCTACAACCTTCATTACAATAGTGAAGCAAGAAGAGAATACTGGACCAATGAGGTCTAACCTGTTGGCAGTCAGTGAAGATGACACTTTTATTAATTGTGATTGAATATATGTAACTAAGAAACCATGCATTCTATAGATTTATCACTATAGTTATTTAATTGGAGGAAATTTTCCCCTTCAGTAATTAAATAGGAGGTGAGAAAAGTTGATAGAGGTTAGGTCGTATATATTGGTCTTGAGTTAATTATGTTGAGAATAAGTGACTCAGGTACATGAGCATAAAATAGGAAGTAGAATTCATGCTGTTGACTTCTGTTTGCATGTTGGTAATAATGAATCCTAGTTCTATATAACAGTTTGTCTAACTTTTTTAAGGGAGTTCTCAGAGATGACTCAAAGCGGCAATCAAGGTAAGAAATGAATTTCAGTCAAAAATTACTTAATCTTCTATATTTGACTGTGATACTTTCTATCCAAGAGCAGGTGATTATTATTAGTCTAGTATCTTAGATCGCTGTGTGGTATCCATCATAGCCATGTCAATATGTGGTGACTGTTATTGACCATTTTGAACATTTTTTTGCCCTTCACAAACTTATATAGCAGGCTTAACTGGAATTACTGACACTGGTAATATTTCCTAACATTCATTGATAATTCCTAGGTGCCTTTTGAAGCAAGAGAGTGTTACCATGCATCTTCCAGCAAATATTGGTAAGTTTTTGTAAAGAGAGGAAGACACTTGTTCACACTGTAAGTAAAGTTTATCCTCCTACATTTATGATAAGTGAATTCTTTGACAGGTACTTCCAGAAATTTAAATACTGTATTAAGCTATAATTATATCTTTGCATGAGCCTCACTTATCTTGCATCTTTCTTAAATCTGTAAAATAAAAGGATAAGATATTTTTCTTGTGTTCATGATCTACCAAAGTCCCAATATTAGTAAAAAGGAAAAAACAGTCAGTCCAAATGTTTTAGCTGTATTTTACAAAAAGGAGAAAAAGCTTCCTCAAAGTGCTTTCGTCTGGTTTCTTTAAGGTGTGTTATCTGGAATTACTAATTAAAACAGTAGTAATAGAGAGTGGTTTTTAAAATGCAGTTTTTTACCTTTTAAGTTTTGATCTTGACATAGGTGACTACACTGACTTTTATTCCTCTAAAAATCATGCGACAAATGTTGGTACGATGTTTAGAGGGAAGGATAATGCTCTGATGCCAAACTGGTGAGTATTTTCTGTTTATAGAACTTAAATTTGGAATTGAGCTGGTTAGAAGTGAGGTGAAGGATTTTTTTTTATTTTTTTTTACAAAGAAAGGATTCTTAGTTGATTATACAGGTTGGACTGTATTAAATAAACTTATTGTAAACCAGTTACAACTGAAAGTAGAAGGAAGTTTTCCTTATTAAGTCTATTAACAAAGGAATTTTTTTTCGTTAGAATTGGGATTGAGTAACTGCAGGACAAGAAATGTTTGAAGACTGAATTGTAGCTTAGTTTAGCTTGTAAATTACCCTAACCTTTTGATTTCTAGTTTTAAGATGCTTCTTGTTAAGAAATGTATGAAACCTAAATTTAGAATAACAATTTTTGATCCAGGTCAAGCTTTAAACTAATAGAGGGTTTTTCAAAGCTTTATCATGTAAAGTTCTAGCTAGCTGTTGTAATTGTAGATTGAGCTCCATGCTTAATTTTTATCAGTTATATTATAATTACACTCGTTTATCAATTGTTTGAAAGATATAGCTAAAATGATATGGTGTTTAAACCAACTACATGAATGTGATCAATAACTCTAACCAGTAGGTGATATTGCTCAATATAAAGTCAGATGGAGTGTTAGGCAAATGATTTGTCAAAATAAAATCTCACAATACAGTGTTTGGCATTAATATCACAGGGTTCATCTGCCTGTTGGATATCATGGCAGAGCATCTTCAGTTGTAGTATCAGGTACTCCTGTGAGACGTCCGGTTGGTCAGACTAGGCCAGATGATAGTAAGTGAAATATGTGTGCTATATTTACTTAGTATTTGCAAAACACATTTTATTGACTCTTGCCAGAGGTCTTGTGATAGGTGAGTCTAACAACCTGTCAGCAGAACTGTTTTAGATTGGAAGGGTTGTCAGAGTTTCATGCTTTATTTGGAAAAATGATCAGTCTTATTAAGTTGATCAAAATGGGTTTAAAAAGTTTAAAAGCATGGGTAGTAATTAACTATTGTCATTTCAGAAAGACAAGTTAAGTAAGCCATGCTAGTGCAATACACTAGCTATATACCACTTTCACAAATGGTGGGCATTATTATTACTCACATTATAGGCATGCAAGTCTGCCCTCTTGGCCTCTTTATTTAGTGAAAGCTCTTCTAAGTCTAGGAAGGCTCACTTACATGGATATGAAAGGATGAAAATTAAGTTTGCCAATTATGGATAAGGTCTTCTATTAAACAAGTGGTTGAATTAACATTAATTAGCCTACACACTGGCAAAACCCCTCTTACATATTTATGAATACAAACAGAAGGTGCTTTTTTATTCTCCAAAGGGAGAGCAGCTGATCTCTCTGATTTTCACCACTTTTATTTGTCTTGATTTATTTATTCTAAGGGTTCAAAAAGGAGAAATGTGTAAATAGGTGAAAACAACTTACCATACTGACTGCTTTCATTTTTCTCAATATCTTAGTTCACCTGATGTCTTTTTATTTCTAACAACATTAAGTTGGTACAAAAACATGTTAAACAGATAAGTTTACAGAAGAGGATTGTGGATAACATGTAGTCACTCATTGAATTGGCTGATATTGGATATCAAATATGCTGACCACTGACACACAGTATTATTTAAAACCATTAACTGGCATTAACTTGTTCTTTTTATGTTCACAGCTAAACCTCCTATTTTTGGTCCATGTAAATTACTTGACTTTGAGCTGGAAATGGTCAGTAAAAAGTACCAACACATACTGCATACAGTCACATATTTCAATCATTAAATTAATATTAAGCACAACTAAGGGCTAAAATTTGTGTGATGTCTTGTTACAACAGGCATTCTTTTGTGGACCTGGGAACAATCTTGGTGAACCTATTACTATGGATAAGGTATTATTAGTTGAAATATTTAGTGCTGCATCTTTTATTCACCACATTTTATGGGTGAAATAGAGAATCACCTTGTCTCTTGTTTAGTGGTCTGTAAGTTAGTTAGTTTTCAAGCCTGGCTGTCAGCAAGTCTTACTTTCAATCTCACTTGCTTGAAATTAAGTGGTAATGTTGAAGCATTCAGCTCCACTTGTAAATCACATGGACATTGCACTGTGGTGACATGCACAGGACATGTTAACTAGCCAACCTTTTTAAGCTGCTTTAATTGCTGTGCTAGAATGCAGAGTCAATCACTTCAAATGTTGTTAAATGTTACGCAGGCTGAAGACCACATATTTGGAATGGTTGTGATGAATGACTGGAGTGGTATGTGAAAATAAACCTGACTAAAGTCTATTTGATTCTTAAATCTAATGTTTGTCATCAGTGAGAAAAATAAACTAATATTGTAACAATAAAGTGCCAGTTCTTAACGTTCAAGTATGCTTTGAAGTGATTACTCACCTCTTATAGTACACGGTCGATCTGTGATGTAATTGTTTGAGGGGTGACTGCTCTTGTGTATGAGCTGTCGCAAGACTCTCACCAATAATACATGAACTTCATCTGCACCAAGTTTTGACTTATTTAGTCTTACTAACAGAAGATAACTCAAAAGAAATAGAACACAGGTTAACTATTTGTCGAATTAAAAGCTTTACCTGTATTAGCACAGTGACCTGATAGACAGGTAACAAGGAAGAAACTAAGTAATGTCTTTCTACAGTAACTGTAAATTACCAGAGCTCAGCACATCGTTACTTCTTTAACTGATTACAACCCAACATAAGTATTCTTATTACAGCATTGTTCTCTTTACATCTCCTATGGAGATGTCCTATGGAGACATCTCTTTACATCTCCTATGGAGATGTAAAGAGATGTTAAGGAGAATTTGTTTGACAATCAGGAGGTTCGTGAATTGGTGATCTTGATTTAAGGTGATACTGTAATGTGAAATTAGAAGGCAATCACTATTTGGGGTTAAAGGGTAAATTAGAGTAATATTAACTTTACCCACAAGTAGGTTAAATCATCACTTTCAAACCTGCTGAATAAAGATGAATTGTAGTTTATCATTATGACTACACTTTCACGTGTTTTATTATCATTTATCCACTGCAGCTCGGGACATACAGAAGTGGGAATATGTACCGTTGGGCCCATTTTTAGCCAAGAATTTTGCAACAAGCATCTCACCCTGGGTGGTGACAATGGATGCTCTTCAAGACTTTGCTTTGGCCAATTCAGTTCAGGTAGTTGACTCAGACCCAGTACTTGCGATTTCCTTGGAAAAAGAAGCGGCCATGATGAAATAATGAGGGCTACAATGCGGTTTGAACCCTAAGAGGGCAGATTCTAAGTGCCAGTTATTTACACGAGGCATAACCCAAACCGTGGTTTTACGCAAGTAATGGACCTTAGGTTTCAAAGTTCTCTGTAAGAAGGTTGATGTAATTAGATATATGTCCTTCCTCTGTCAACTTTCGACCCTCTTGACCGTGACACTGTTCAAAAAAATAAATGTTCAGTTTTTTAACTGAACAGTTCTTTAACTGGTTTAGCTAACTTGAAGATAGTTTAGAACGCGGTTTTGTTTAACTACGGCTTAACTTTGTTTGAATAATCGGCCCCATAGGACCTATAGGTCTGAGGTTCAATTCCTCCCGAGAACTCAAATTTTGTCTTGTTTGTCCTATTATGCTCGTGAGAAGACGAAAAAGGCATTTCCTATGACGTTTAACTTTCTTTTCAGACTCTCTTTTTTATGTTCGAATTTTTTATGATGTTATTTCGAATTTTCCTACAAATTTCATATGTTCACATCAGAATTAAAATTCATAAAGTCTGAAAGTTTCTAAAGAAATTGGTGCTGTGTCGTTGGGGGTAACAAAGTAATTTGGTTATATCAACTAAGTTGAAATT